CTTCTAATTTTTGCATCCTGGTTGTTCCTCTCCAGAGAAGAAAAAAGTTTTCCTTGTATTCTATTATTTTCCTTTTCTGCTTTGCAACTAATCTAGATGAAAATACTTGCCACCTTCTCCTAGTGTTTCAACTGAGTATTTACTGCAAGATCCTTCAACATACCGAGTTTCAACATACTGGGTTTAAACTCCACCCTTTTGTTTCTCAGTTTCCTTTCCAAAGTAGGATTTGATCTTCTTGTCTTGCAAATGGAGGAATCTGACAACTCTTTACTATGGACTTATTGTAATTTAAACTTCACCTTTAAGGCAGGTTTTTTATTTCTAACCTTTAAAGAGTATTCTTTCTTTTCATTTTTTAAATTTGTTCTTTTCTGCCTATTTACTAACTCTAATTTAAAAATCTAAGGTTTTTATCTTTATGTCACTGTATCAGTTTTTTCCCCATTAAGTTATTTATGAAGTTGATTTAAAAATTAAATAATCATTCACTCTATCCTTCTGTCTTGGTTTCGGCTGTAACAGTTACTTTCCTCCTTCTTAATATCTGGCGCAGTGCTGTGTTTGACATTTAGCCTGAGAATACTGCTGATAACACACAGATGTTTCAGTTGTTGCTCAGTAGAACCCTGATCAAGGAATTAGGGTCAAAGCAGTCCCATGCTTTGCTGGTTAGCAAGGGCACAAGAAGAAGGGCGGAAGCAGAGACAGGACACCTGACCCAAAGTAGCCAAAGGGGTATTCCATACCACAGCACATCGTGCCCAGTATAGAAACTGGGGGGAGTTGCCCAGGAGGGCAGATCACTGCTCAGGTTGGGCATCAGTCAGCGAGTGCTGAGCAGTTGCATTGCGGATCATTTGCGTTTATTGTTTTTTTCCCCTTTTCAGTTTTATATTCTCTTCCCTTGTTATTTCCCTTATCACTATTATCATCGGTGGCAGCAGCAGTGGTTTGTGTTATACCTTAGTTACTGGACTGCTCTTATCTCAACCCGTGGGAGTTACATTCTTTCGATTCTCCTCCTCCCCATCCCACCAGGAGCAGGAGGGAAGAAGGGCAAAGTGCACAAGCAGCTGCATGGTTCTGAGTTACCGGCTGGGCCTAAAGCTTACCACCTTCAGATGTAATTTCTGAAATGCTTTACTGGCTTTATCTGAAACCTGTGTTCCTAAATAATTCAGGCACTTGAGTCCAATGCAATCATATTGTCATTATTTAAGTGCAGTCAGTAACCCACGCAGCTTGCTCACTCACTCCCACCTTTTCTCCCCCCTACCCTCACTCCCAGAGGGACACAGAGGACAATGGAAAGAATATAACTCCCATGGGTTGACATAAGAGCAGTCCAGTAACTAAGGTATAACACAAACCACTACTGCTACCACCAATAATAATAATAATGGTAAGGGAAATAACAAGGAAAGAGAATACAACTGCTCACCACCCCCCTATATCCAGCCTAACTGAGCAGTGATCTAGCCCATCTGGGTAACTGCCCCCAGTTTATATACTGGGCATGACATGCTGTGGTATGGAATACCTCTTTGGCTAGTTTGGGTCAGGTGTCCTGTCTCTGCTTCCTCCTGGCTTCCCCTCCTCCCTGGCAGAGCATGAGACCCAGAAAGTCTTTGGTCAGAGTAAACATTACTGAGCAGCAACTAAAAACATTGGTGTTATCAGCGCTGTTCCCAGGCTGAAAGTCAAAACCACAGCACTGCACCAGCTACTAAGAAGGAAAAAAAATAACTGCTACTGCTGAACACGGACACACATTTAAGAAAAGCGACATGATAGAGGCCAGATGGCTGTTTCCAATAATGATCAATAGCAGAAGCATAGAGAAGAACAATTAGCAATTTTATATGAAGTTTCATAGAAAAAGCGTTATTGAAATTGCAAAACTAAGAGTGTATTTCCATGTTAAAAGATACAGCTTAAATCAAGCTGGTTATCCAGCCTATAATGTAATTATATTCTAAGAAGAATCCAAACACCACATGAAAGAAACTGGATTCTGAGAATGCTTTCCCCATTAGCTATTTCTGGAATTAGTTTGGGAAGAAAAATGGTGAATTTCACCATAACATAGGGCCCTTATACATGATATTGGTCTCATCAAGGTTTCTGTTACAGCATATATATACTATAATATACATTTATCGGACTGAAAGATAATTTCCTCTATGCCTTTACTATAATTTCCCTGTAACATCAGTCTCAGACAACTTTTCCCAATAATATAGCAATATAGAGAAAGAAAATTCTATATAGCACTGGCAAAATAGTTACTGGTTTCTTCAAATTACTCCTAGTCAGTGAAGGAAGATCAAAGTTACGTTGCATTGAAATGTTGAAATTGATTTGTCATTAGGAGTAAACATACAAGTAGTTCACATACCTAATGGGAAAAACCCAAATCAATGTTCATCTGTGTGGGAGGGTTTTGGCAAATTGTTTATTGATTTGAAATAAATATGAAATAAAAACTGATTTGAAATAAATTTGAAATAAAAATCCAAAGAGATTAATTGACTGAATCACTTGACTACTATTCAGCAGACAGCAGGAGTAAGCCTGACGTGCACAGCCAAAGAGAAAAAATTATCATAACAGAATGTCATAACAGATACATATACATAAACAGATAGACTGAAATAACAACCTAAATCTGGTAATTCAGCTGCTCTCCCTGAATTTAATTATTCTAATTAAAATCAAGCATCTACTGTGAGATGATTACAGGCTTGCTTCTTCATATCCAAACGAAAACGCGAAGCTTCACAACTGGAAAACAATCTAGTGCTACAGGATGCAGCACCAAAAAAGAAATAAAAAGTATAACTGTCTTATGAACCCCCAAGAGCAGAGATGGATTACTGGAGTACAAGACAGCCACAGTGGAACACTGGGTACGCGAGGCAGTCACATGCTTTACAAGATGTTTCTACTTAATCAGGTAGCACAAAGGAAGGACTTTGAAGACCAGGAAAGCAGTAAGATGCAAGACAAATGCCTTCACACCTCTTGTCATCCTGTTTTAAGGCCAAAAGATTCTTCCTTTTTATCCCCATATTTCAGTCAGTCTAAACAGAAAGATCTTATGTGCATTAAAGAAAAAGACAAAAATAATCAGGAGTTCTGTCCCCAGCATCAAACATACAAAAAATTCACACATGAAGATGCATTGTCCCCCCTGTAGGATATCCACTTAGTACAAAGTGTAGCAAAAAGTAATTGCAGATGGGTTCAAACCTAAAAAATGGGTTTGAAACATCCTGGAGAGAAAACAGAATTTAAATCTCATTTTTGAAAGTCTTTCTAGAAGTACTTGTCTCAAAATAACCAAGTCCAAAAATCCAGCAGCTTTTAGGTAGAAGAATGTTAAACTGTAGGAGAAAGGGGAGATGCTAGCATTGCAATAGCTTCACCCCATACAGTGAGAAAAAGCACGTCAAGCCTCCTTCTTATGTACATGCATTGTGCTTTCAAATACTAATTTCTACATTTCTATAATCTGCTCCCAGGCCCTAAGGACAGTAAGAATTATTATCTGCTCCTATTATGAAGTGTAGAAACCAAGAAAAACTGGAAGACATCTTTGAACAGAAGAGTAAAGCAACACCACTAAATCGTTATATCAGAGAGTAGAATAAAAAAGTATTTGCAGGCTGCAGAGGGTCTTACGGCACAGACAGCTTGACATGCAGTTACACCACATCCACCCTGACAGAGGCGTAGGGAGGAAACACTCAGGTATTGAAAATACCTTCCTAGAGTCATGAAACACCACTGATAGCTAAAATATCATTATGACACCAATATTCTGGTCACAATCTTACTTGTTTCAGAACCAAACAGGGCTGGAAAGCCTTAGAAGCACTGAGCATTAGGCCACCTCATTTCAGAGAAAGGTACACTGCCAGCCAGACATGAACTTTAACCTGCAGTGCTTTTCTTCCAAACTGCAGTAGCCCATCAGTGAATAACACTTCCTTTAAAAATAGCTGCATAGGGTGACTTTATGAGGACTAAGAATGTGCTAATGTAATAAATTACATATAATTAATTAATAACTTGTGACAAACATACTTCACACTTAAATAAGCTCACCACACCTGGGGAGAAGTGTTTAAACAAAAGGGCATGTTTTAAGCTTTCAAAGGAACTCTCTAAAAGACTCTTTGAGGACTCTCAAATAAAGTGATATTTCTGTTAGGCTTTCAAGGTTTAATTTTCAGCTGTGAGATTTAAGGTCTTACTCAAGTGGGTTGAGACTGCCCAGTTAATTACCAAATATTACACAAGTGCATCACACACTGCAAGTGACTCAACCTGCAAACCATGACATGCTAGGGGACCTACTAGAGCAGCAATCACAGGAGTCAGTCAAGATCAACTATGAACAAGCATGACAAAAGCTGAAATTAGTCTCAACACTAATGTTCCTGAATGAGCCACAGGAATAAAAGCATTTGTAAAAAGGAGGGAAGGGTAACTACAGCTGCTAGATTTGGATGATCAATTCACTAAGTATGAAATCTGCCTGTGGGAGGAACTGAATCAAGGAGCTGTCTGAAAGTGCCTGTCTGAAAGTGCCTATGAAATCTGCCTGTGGGAGGAACTGAATCAAGGAGCTGTCTGAAAGTTACTCTCTGAGAAGTCCAACACCTCCAGCCTATTCCCCTGCACATGACATCAAAACATGAATTCCTGAGTTGCATCAATATCTATTAATAAAGTGGCCTGTTACACAGTTCAATTACATGAGCACTGTCTTCCAAGGCATGTGTAGTATTACAAGTATTTGGGCAGTGATGTTAGGAGTTGCACCCAAGTGATATCTACTGGACACATATATTCATTTCTTTTTCCTCCATTTCCTCTCCTTCCTCATCATTCAGAGCTTAGTTCCTTGAGAAACAAGAAATGCTACCTACACATCACAAAGGGCGCTCACTCAGGAGAATTAGTTTTGAAAAGATGACAGAACAACAACATTTTTAGCCCCAGTTCTTTAATAAGGATTTCACTCAGGAAATAAAGGCAAAACATCAAAGCATAAAACATGGTAAGTGACTTGATGAATAGCTTAAGATACTAAACTACTGCAGGCATTGGCATTTGACTTTCACTTGACTCAAGTATTTCTTCATACTCACTAAGTGGCAAACATTTATGGTTTTTACATGTTGAGATACTGCAATGGCATTTATGTTCATCAAAATGCAAAGCTTAGTCCTGAAGTCAAGTTTCCCAAGGACAAATCCAGCAGCAGTGGACTGGGAAAGCTGCAATGAATTCTGTGCTTCACACAGTGGGAAAAAAAAAGCCTGAGTTACTCCTTTCTCTTTTCCTATCAGCTGCTCACACTAAAACAAGGCATGTGCTGAAGAGAATTCTGATTGTTATCTCCATTTAAGAATTGCTAGAGTAAAGAATCTGGATCAGGCTCTTATCCACTTCCAGGCAATGCATTCCTTCCTTTCCAGTGAAAGCATAGAGCTGTTAAGCTGCTTTCACAAGTTATTCCAAAGCCAATGTGCTGGCAAGATGCTTTTCTCCCTCTTAACATTGTATCTGATAATTTTTCATAAGACATCCTGAAACACTTGGGAGTTAGCTATGATGTATGTTTTCCTACATACATTTTACACACCAGTTCAAACCCTGCCCTATAACTCTTGAGGACAGAAATGAACTTTTGAAGAAGGCATGTAAATTTGCAATTAAAACTCAGAGAGGCCCTGAAAAGGGAGAGCCCTCAGTCAGAGCCCTTCCAATTTTTCCCTCAAGTAAGAGCTAATAATGTGCAACAGCAACCCAGTGAAGTGCCTTTGTTTTACTGAATGTTCCACAGCTCTGGCATAGCAAGACTGCAGTGGAAAGTCACTTTAAAAATTTCCCATTCATTTCCAAAACCTCAGCTACCACAAGCTGCATATGGTTTTAAAAGTTTCAGAATGCAAAAGAACAGTATGTATACCACTAAGAGACATCCATTTTGATTTCTCCCTGTTCAGATTAATGGAGTTCCATTAGATGCTGTTTTTCCTAAGGAGAAGGTGCACAGGCATTGGTAGCTGTTGAAAGTAAACAACTGGGCACAGGAAGATAATGGAAGACTGAATGATGTTACCCTTCCAGATCCTAGTTTTTTCTAGGCAGCCCTTCAAGTATGAAGCTTGGCAGCCAACCATTACAGTCCTAAGGAAGACCATTTTACTAGCTTCTGTTCAGTGCAAAAAATTAAGGACTATGTCCATATATTACAGGAGTCAGCTGCAGACTAGTGATGCTTTAAAAAAATATGAAGACATGTCAATAATGCTGCACATTTGTTGTCCACTCTTCCACGATGAACCCTATCTATACCCTATCTATATTTTCTTTCTTTTCAGGTTTTGTTTGGGTTTTTGTTTTGTTTTTTTTTTTGTACAATGAGAAGTTAAATACACCAAAGAAATTAATCAGAGCCAGCAAAGCAGCAGCATCTGTAGATTAGCAGAATACATGCACAGTCTCCATGCTGGAATTCTGTTTCCTACCATGTTACCCATACTTGCAGCAAGGAAGCAAAGTTCCCACATACTATACACATATACTATTAATAAATATTTGTGAGATTTTAGTTACATTATGGAAGGCTAATGGAACAGATTAACTCCTTCGAAAGCAGCAGTGAAAATAAGAGCTTATGCTAATCTCTTATTGCAATGCCATTAGGAGTCAGGACAGAAAAGAAAGGTACCAAAACTTCCTTTCCCATTCCATTTGAACTGATTGCCCACAATAGAAAAAAACATTTCCTGTGACATTAAGTTGTCATCAGCTTGTGTACTTCCCAGTTCACTCAGTCTTCTCTTCTCCAGCTGGCTCTTTGCAGAAGTAACCATGAGTTCATACGCAATTTTGTAATTGCTTTCAGTTTGTTCAGAAATCTCCGCTTGCTCATAAAGCTCCAACTCATCAGTTAAACATTCAGCTGGTAGCTCTTGCCTGAAGCCCTCTGCACGGGCTGTCCCATTGCCTGACTGGATAGGCTGAGTATTCCCTAAGTCAGGAAACAATAAGAATGTCATCAGTCATGCAAAACTGCAAAATAATTTAAAACTCCTGGAATTAAGTTTTCTTCAGTCTTCACATTTTCACCTCATCCCACTCACTTTTTGGATAGCTAGTTAGTGACAGCCACCTATTCCAAATACAGTGTAAGATGCTTGAGGAAAAGGTTTCCTCTTGAGATGACATCACGTTGCCAAGTGATATAAGAAATATAAGAGTATGAAAAATACAGTGGCCACATTCTATTTCCTGCAGAAAAAATAAAAAAATAAAAAAACTGCGCTGGGAGCACAACTCAGCTCTAATGCACCAAAAAAAAAAAAAAAAAAAAAAAAAAAAAAAAAAGCAGAGAATTATCAGGAACCAGGAGGACTGTAAAAGAAGCCATTTCTGCTTGCTGGCTGCTCACACTCTGGTTTCCATATGACCTGAGGAGGTCCATCAGTCATACAGCTCTGCTTAGCAGGGAGCACAGATCAGGTACAAAAAGACTTTTCAGTGAAAGTGCACACACGCCATGAAGTACAGACATTCAAAGTGCTCCTCTGCAGCAAGTTTATCTTTCAAGAAATTCCAGTGTTATGAACATTCATTTCAGCTAAATCAATGCAGATTTCATTAGACAATTTAAGACAATTATGAATTAGGCAATCAAAAAACCTGGGTATACTAGATTTACTAGCTTCAGGAGTTTCTTATAGGAAGAAAAAAATACCTTTTGTTCCCTCTGCTAAAGCATCCTTCACATCAGAGGGCACTGTTGGTCTAACCAGGACCACACCACATCCTTCATTATTATGGATCTTATTACTGATTATGGTTATCTTGGGGATGTCATGGTGTTCACCTAAGAAGTTCTATAGCAAAGAAATGGAAATCCAACATGTTATGTACAGCTAAAAGGATGCTAAATTTTCTAGTTTTAGGTAGAATAAGTTCTATGCATTGGCTAGAATTCTATTATTTGCCTATGCAGGTGATACTGTAAAAGGCATTTTCTTTCTGCAGATACGAAGGAAAATAAGTATACTGCTTTGGTGGACAAGTACCATTATCATGTGTGACATACAAAAGTTCTAACATAAGGCAGCAAGGTTATAAAGCCAGCCTAAACACAAATTATTTGTATTAACTTTAGCAGCTATAAGCTTTAGAAGAAGTAGTATATTCTGCCTTGAACTTACCTTTATGAGTATCCCCTCCTTGCAATGGTGTATGCCATTGCCCAACAGGGTGCACGTACTACCTGGATATATTGCCACACCAGCGCTCTACAAGATGAAATAGGTAGCAGTTTACGAGTAGTTCAGACATTTCCAATCTAACTAGAGAGTTCCATTGCAGATCTTTTTGTTCATCTAGCGATTTGTGCAATGCAAGATTGTGTTACCACTCCAGCTTCACAGCTTTGCTAACCACTTAAGCAGCCTACTCAAGTCTGAGGCCTCATGCATAACATTATAGCTACCAGTCCATAAAAGCTCTGGTAAAGAGTAACTGCATAGCTGTGCATTACACTCATGTTCTTCACTTATGCACCTCAACACTCAAAGCCCCATTGTTCTTTGAAATGTCCTAATCAGAGTTCACGTCTCTTGTCTACCATCCCTCTGTAAGAATCAATGGACAAGGTTTCCAAAAAGGGCATTTCATTTGCAGAACAAATGAAAGGTTTAATGAGAAAATTTGTGGGCAGAGAAAACAGAAGATCACTTCATTCAGTGACATGAATCAGTTCAGAAATGAAGCAATGATTATGTCACAGATATACTGTTATTACATAATTTTCATATCATCACACGCAAATCAGCATGAGACACTTCACTACATACTCTTGGAGGCTACAAGATCCCTGGACCAATCTCCTTAAACTCAGTAATGTGCAGCTGTCCCAGATGAGTTTGTAAAGGTTCTCTCAGGAGCAACAAAAGTTGCCCTGCTATAGACAATTATTTCCAAGCAGAAACCTTTATTTTAATTTGGGAAACCAGTCACAGTTAAGAATTTTGTACCTTGGCACCATACAGATCTGAGTTTTTCATTAACAGCTCAGCTGAAGTTCTTACTGTTACACCTGCAGTTTCACATTGTAACACACAATTCTCCACGGTTGTTTTCCCACGATGGACATCTGCATACACAAAAAAGAAATATTGTTAAATTAATCAGTTATGCAAAAGCAAACCCTTCCTACACATAGATGGGCTTCTAGCATTTCTGCAGTGTGATAAAATTACTGTTTTAACCTTATCCACTTCAGGTCCACATGCATCGTGTGAGCTCATGCAATTTTTTTGGTATAAGCCAGAGCCCTGTTGCAAGGGAGTAGGAGTCAAGAATTTCTTAGGGGTTCTTTGGCTTTTTTTTTGTTGTTGAAAAGTGGCAGCAACTATTCTTTTCTGATTCAATAAGATACTGAATACAGGTATACAGGTGACAAAAAAAAAGACATTTTAACACCTTTAAAACCAAATGTCTGGAGGCAAAATTTTAATTGGCACCGTCTGCAAAGAGAGAAGGATCATGGCCAATAAATTAATTGGATACAATTTAGGATTATTCGAGCCTCAGTTTGACTGTGCTGTTAGCAAAGTTCTACACTACTTCTACAGCATATGCCATTCCTCAATGGAGAGCTTTCTTCTGTGGAAGGAGAAATTATTTCCTCTTCCAGGTTGCCTGACAGAGGCTGTGCAGCAGTCAGAGCCAGGCAGCCTTACCAGCAGAAAAATTATGCAGTCAAATGATCTTATCCAAGTATAAAAATAAAACACAAGAACCACAATAGCTTAAAAATGCAAAAAGTAATGTTGTTTTGAACTCCACATTATGAGCAAGTTAAAAAAAAAAAGGGGGGGGAAGTCTGCATGTTTATACTTGTAGGGCTCCACTCTACAGTATTTTGTTAAAACTAGTAAATTCCAACACTGTGTCCCAGCTTTAATTCTATGAGCAAATTATGAAAGAGTCACACAGAGATCAAGATACTTTTACACTTACTTAAAATCCCCTCCACAGCATCATGCTGCACTAACTTCAAACTGGAGATCCTTATATTGTTTCCTGTACAGTCAACAAAATTGTCTCCTTTCCCTCGTTTTTCTATCACAATATCATCTGGCAGGCCATAGCCTTGAAGCAGAGGTGAAAGACAGAAGTTTGATGAATAATTGGTAATAGTCAGGTGCTAAATTACAGACATTTAAATATGGAGGTTATGGTGCTGAGGTCTAGTATCTTGAATATGATTTTCCACCCAGTGGCCAGGCTACACCATACATCCCCTCTGAACCAAGGTACAGGTACTCAGAACTCTAGAGTTACCTTACTTGAATGACAAGCTATAAAACGTAAAGTTATTTTAGACAGTTGAACAAAAGAGTAAGTGAGCTCAAATTTGCCAAGGTCAAAGTTCTCACTCCCCAGATTTACAGCTGAACAGGGTGATACAGTAGCCAAGGACACTGATGCCTGCAGTCCACTTGCAAAGTGCAGCGCTTCAGAAGAGCAAGCAGAGGTTCCAAAGAGCAAGGGGGTATAAAAGCAGTCACCGCCATGACACAAGGGAGGCAAGTGCAAAGGACTTGATATTGCTAGTAAGCTTTACTGAACATCCATATTTAAGTGAAACTTGGGTCAAAATTTAATGTTCCTGTGTTAATGGGCTTCCAGATTAATTCAGATCAGAAAAGAAACCTTCAAACATATGCCAGCATTGATTTACAAAACCATCCATAGTTGTCAGCATTCAACCACTTACAGGGAAATTTATGAGCATGTAGGGCGCTTATAGCTTGTCACTGACAAGAATCATGATAGGGAAAGCAATAATGCAGTATTTATTAAAGCAGCATGAGTCCTGTCATTTTCTGAGAGCACACACAAACTCAGATAAGAAGTGCCTGAGCAGGATGCTAGCTTTTAACCAAGTACATAAATAAATACTGTAATGTGCAAGTAAAAAGCTTCAAAAGAAAAGCCTTTGAACAAGAGTTGGCAGAAAGTTTTAAACACAGCAGACTTAATGCAAATATAAGTGACTGACATACACTGTACTACTAAGAAATCTTTTCCTACTGCTACTGATTTATGGTCACCCCTGGGGATGTGGCATGGGGCAGTTTACTTCCACTGCATAAAGAGAGAACACTACAGGATAGCAAATGGCACATATAGTTTAACTTCACACAGAAGGAAGTTATTATCCAGGGAAACAGTTTTGGGAATAATTGTCCTACAGACTACTTGCAGTTTTTCCTAATGTCATGGTTTAAGCCCAGCTGGTAACTCAAAACCATGCAACTGCTAGCTCACTCCCACTCCTTTTATCCCCACCCCTGCTGCCAGGGAAATGGGGAGGGGAATCAAAAGAATGCAGGTCCCATGGGTTGAGGTAAGAACAGTCTGGTAACTAAGGTATAACGCAAACCACTACTACTACTGCTAATAAGGGAAATGACAAGGGGAAAGAACATAAAACTAAGAGGGAAAAGGAGAAAAAAAAAAAAAACAAAAAACAAAACACACACACACAAAAAAAAAACCAAACAAACAATAAACACAAGTAATCCACAAACAATTGCTCACCACTCACCAACTGACACCCAGCCCTACCTGAGCAGTGACCTAGCCCTCCTGGGTAAGTGCCCCCAGTTCATAAACTGGGCATGAGGTGCTGTGGTATGGAATACCTCTTTGGCTACTTTGGGTCAGGTGTCCTGTCTCTGCTTCCTCTCAGCTTCTTGTGCTCCTCCTCACTGGCAGAGCATGAGACTGGAAAGTCCTTGACTGGGGTAATCATTACTTAGCAACAACTAAAAACATCCATGTGTTATCAGCACTGTTTTCATACTGAAAGTAAAAACCACAGCACTGCACCAGCTACTAAGGAGAAAAATAACTGTTACAGCTGAACCCAGGACACCTGGCCATGTTTTGGCTTGCTTTACACTTCACCTTTGAAGTGGCAGCTCTGGTAGTAAAAAGGAAACTGTGAGAAGATAAGGCATAGAGGAGGAAAGAGTCATCTGCTGTCAGTGGTGCTCAATACACAAGGTGGTCATGGCTGCGTCCTGTAAGCTCAGTGACTGCCCAGGGGCTAACAGCAGTAATCATCCAGTAACACTGACCACAAGTGTTAGATGGGCTGACACTGCAGGTTCCCATCCAGCTTGAACAACTACTACACAAGCAGAAGGAAAGTCCTTAGGTACCTTTGCTACACATTTTTGTCAAGTGTTAAAGTTAACTTTACTGTGATTTCCTGCAGTTGCTACTGCTTTTACCTTTCAACCTTAGGACTGACTTGCATAGTAGCTGGGAAAAAAAAAGCTCCACTAAACAAAGGGACATTTTATCTTTGATGGGTCACTCTTTCATCCCCAGAAAGCCACCCAAATGGCCAGCTGCTCAGATTAGTGTCAGCAGCATTATTCTTCATGCTCCTACTTCAACCAGTTTTGGCTGCTCCTATTGCTATCAAAACTTCTCTAACACAAGTCCATGTAAGATTAAATACCCTGGCAAGTACCCATTATTCAGAGTGATTCATACTAAAGATACATATGCATATGCCTTCCTCCTTAAAACAGAGCAGCATATTCTTTAATAGGGGTGCTATTCCAGCATTTGTATTACTGCTTTCTCAAAGCTACCACCCCACAATTTTAGAACAATGTCAGTCTTGCAGATAAATAAAGCACTTTAGTGCAAACCTGTATCCTACAGGTGCATTGGCTATCACCATGCATATCTGTATAAATCAAACATACACAAGAGGACAAGAAAGAAAATGACACCAGTAAAATAAGGAGGGCAAGAAAAATCAAATCCAGAACAGCAGGAAATTAAACTCCCAGTCTTCTCATTAAGAGCTTTTGACAAAACAAAAATGCAGTTAAGTATCTGAACAGCTGCACAAGCCCCAGTGATACACTGCAGATTGTGCATGCCTTAAGCAGAGGAATTATACTGAGAAATCAGGAACTTTGAGGAAGAGATGCAACTTATCCCACACGAAAGTATTTAAACCAAGTATTTTGCAAGAAAAATGTGATCACATACGCTGTGTCTGTTTGAACAGCAAAAATAAATCCACAGCTCCCTCTTCTACCCATGTGCTTCACATAATGTATATTCAATGTATATTCAGCCCCCCCCCCCCCCCGCTGACAGGCAGTAAGTGCCATAAATAGCACTTGGCTCTTGCCCTCTGTATTCACCAGTACTACACTGTCAGTGAGTCTCAGACTTCACCTCTGAAGCACATTAAGGCATGAAACGAAGTACTTTTAAGTTACTGGTTCTAAAATCTGAAGCCCTTCAGAATGACTTTTCTGCTTCTGAAATTAAAAAACATCAAATCCCCTGTGTTTCTTTGAATCTTCTGTATTATATATATAAACAGGATTTATCCAGACAAATGGTTAGCAGGAAATTATTAATTTGCTATTAATCAGCAAAATTTGCAGTTTATTTGCAGAAGTAACTACAGCTAATGAAACAGCTTACCCCATCCTGCATTAGACATGGTTCTACAAACAGAAATAGGAACACTTTGAAGAAAAGAAGAAAAACCAACCAACCGAACAAAAAATGCTCCCACCAGTCTCCACAGAAAGTAAATCTTTCTGCAAAGCTTGTTCAAGACATTGTTTACTTTAAGGACCTTTATGCTATCAAACCTTCTACCTTCTAGTTCAACTGAATCAGCAATGCAGAACATGTCATCTACAATATAATGACCAGGACAGATGATGACTCTGTCTCCTTCATAACAGGCATTTACAGCTGCCAGTGGATCACTGTGAAACTGTGAAAGACAGAAAACATAATCAGCTCCTGAAAATGCTATAAAAATGGATGCATTTTTACCCTTAAAAAGCTTGCTTTTCAATTAAAAGTTGCTGCCTTTGCTTAAAAGAAACCCCTTTTAATGCATCAATAATACAGAATTTCTACTTTGTCCAGAATGTGATATTATTCTTAAATTCAAAAACAGGCTTAAAACATTCCTTCAATATTTGTGTCATGTCCATTACCCCATAAGAAAACTGGGACAAAGACACAGATTGAAGAACGTATGCATCAGAAAGCAAACCTCAATATGGCCTTGGTTTGAAGCCAGCTTTTGAATTGTGCCTTGACTTAACATAAATTACTGAAGAAACAGACAACAGAATGTAAAGAAAACTCAGCCACTAGATTTGAACTGGTTTGAACAACTGACATAACCCTTTACTCCTGCTGCAAGTCACCCCAAAATAGAGTTTAGATATTACAGTAGTAAATATGGGGTCTAGATAGACCTTTTTCTTGCCCAAAGAGGGCAGGCTGATACCCTTCACAAATATTATTGGGGATTCTGTACTGAAGGATTACAAATGTGCGCTTTCTCTGCACTGTTTATTGCTTCCCAGCAAATTCCAGGGTAAGCTTAAGAAAAGCACTTTCAATTGTCAAGTCAGAAAATCTGATTTATAGCCCAAAAATTAATCTAGGACCTTCCCTGTGGCTCCATTGCAGCCACCAGGTCATGAACTTGATCAGGATACAGCAAGCAATTTCATTTGTGCCCAAGGAATCCAAACTGTTAACCAGTAAAGTGGTAAGTCCTGTCTGAATTCACTAGAACTAGACTGCTCCAAAATAAATGTATCTCCTACTCAGAAATAAAACAAGAGAACGACATTTCTTCCTTGAAATTCTAGGTCATTATCAGCAACATCAAAAGAAACCAGTATATCAGAATTATATATAAGTATTATACCTTACCATGTTTCATTGTAGAATTATTACAGGTTTATCTCATTTCATACACAGAGGAAGGAAATTGCTTGTATAGAGTACACAGCAGACAAATGAATTAAAAGAAATTATTTGTATCATCCAGTCTTACCACTTACAGTTAAAATTATACCGCTTTATTTGAACTGACAAAAAACAACACTACAAATGTAGTATCTTGCACATGATAAATTAACTTACCCTTCCCTATTGTTTCTCAAGCAGAAAGAAAACCTATTAGTAGGCAGACAAGTCCTGCTGCTGTACCTGTATTTCTTGTTCTTCGCCACAAGACTCAGGGCAAAGTTTGTCCCTTATCAATGACTGCAGCGTACTTGCCACCATGGTTGAAGACACAATGTGAGTGATCTTGGCACCCGTTGGTCTCAATCCTTTAGCTTGGAGACTGCTGTATTTTTGGTAACCACACACATACCTAAAACAAAAGCAGCAAAGCCATCATTGTTTTATTAAAGACTGTCCATGTATAGTTTCCCGTATGGCCCTCTTCCTTGCATAAACCCACCAAATACCTGAGCAGAGGATTCTCAATTAGTTTTAGCTTTCGTTTTAAGTGCTCTATTTTCTCATGCAATTTTAGTCCTTCCACCATGGAGACATTTTCTACTTCCGAGTCTAAATCACTGCTTGACAGGCAGCTCCTCACATCTGAAAACTTGCTGTAAAGCTCTTCACATTGAGACAGGTAGTTCTGGTAATTGGCCACAAGCCCAGAAGGCACACGGTGTTCAAGGATGTCATAATGCCTGCAGTTCAGAGCAAGGGGTCAATTATTTCACATTAACAATTTTTAAACACAGAATATGAGAACAATTTTTAAACACATTAAGTACATCAGTACTTCAGTCTAGATTCTGTGCAGTCTACATCAATACTGCTAAAGTTTCTGAAAGCACAAAACCAAAAATATGAACAGACACAAATAAATTACTTCCTAAAGAGTTGGCCATCCACCTTGGAAGATTATACACAAGTATCAGAAAATCACGGTAAAACAAAGGCATAAGCACAGCTCTAAAAAATGGTAAGTACTTGTAATTATATATAAAAAATAGTCTTTTAAGCATTTAATAGAAAAACTGAAAAAATCATGTTTGAAGTCAAAGAAAAATCCTATAATGTACAGTCTCTATTAGCAGAAATCTAAACTACCTGAACAAAACTGCAGAATGAGAATAAGAAAGGCTTTATCAGCACCAGATGAAGATGGGAAGGCACTGCATAGCAAAATCTGCACCATCTCAACAGTAACCTCTACAAATGAAATCGCGAGCCAGAAAATGCCAGCCCATAGTTGCATTGCCAAGGTCAAAAGATGAGGACATCTGCTAGCTAGACAGTGCCAAGAGCTTCAGGGCCAATCATGTAGGACCAAAAAAGCTGGACATCAATTAATGACACAAATAAAACAAGATTTAATTATCTCGCACCATTTTTGTAGGAAACCAACTGAACACAGTATACAGAACTCTATTTGAGAGGCTGTGTGAAATAAGGGCAAAGATGTTCCCTCGACTTTCAGAGATTCTTTAAAGGGTGCACTTAAAACACGCTCCAAAGAGCAAGAAAATTTGTAGTCACAGCAGTCAGTATCTATACAGGGTGAACAAAAACACAGAGCCTCACAAAACTTTGGCAATAGGGTTATTAAAAACAGAGTAAGTCAATGCAGCATGATTAACAGCAGATGATTTTTATAGTAATATAGAAATATAAAACATCTGAAGGAAACAATTTTGTACACAATTCGTTTTACATTTTAGACCATGCACTATGAAAGTGCATAAAACGATCTTGATTTTTCAAGCTTTAGTTATACAGTTCATGCAGCTTTACTTAACTAATGTGCAATGTAAAGCTACTGTCTGTTCTCATTAAAACAGCGCACACCAGACACCCAAAAAGTTTAAAGCATACTGTGTTTCCATGCACTGAATATGGTTCCTATTATTCCTGAGCTGAAGCATCAGAGAATAAGAAAGTATAACATTCACTTTTCTACTTGAAGACATTTTTTTAAACATTTTGGATTCTTGCTAAAACGGCTGTAAGGCCACACAGTCTTAAAAAAAAAAATAAAACATTATCCCATGGCATATCATTCTATTCTAGTTTCATGCCATGGCAGATCTCCATGAGGCTGGAAAAACTCAACAGCAGAACTGCCACTTGCTGGAGAGAACTGGTATAAACACTTCAGAAACATGTATAGTTTCCATATATAACAGTTCCTCCTCATTTGCATGATCTCAGAAAAATACAGGCACATCCCAGTCCTGTTTGAAAGAGTCACATTGTGTCCTGTCTTAAAGAGAGGCCTCCAGCCACCTTTCTAATGTGAAGAATTGCACTCCTTTTCTTTGTGAAGTACATGCTATATGCTATATTCTAAATAGCATTTCAGGGTAGGTTGCAAATGTTCACTGATTTAGTTCCCCCGCATCATAGCGGTATCAAACATGTATCTGAATGACACACAAACTGCCAGATACTCACGGTGCTAAGTTATGATAAGAAAAGGAAGAGTAACTCATGAAAGAAAGATACAGTATCAAATCTCAGGAGAAAACCTACATTAAAAATCACTTACAATTATTCTTTCCAGGTATATTTTATGCTTTGGTTATTTGGTACCCTCAAAACTACAAACAGATCATGTCTTTACGCACTGCTTCAGTTCCGCATGACAGGACAGCATTTAAAACCCACCTACAGAAAACCTAATGCTGACTAATCCCACTAGGGAAAGCAATGCACGCATTCCTCCTTCAGCATAACCAATTCACAATTTTTGTTTACATTCAGTTCCATTCCAGTTCTTTCTCTACACCCAGAGGCATCAGAGCATCCTCTGCTAGTATTACAGTTCACATCCACATGAAGGAGGCTATAGCTGGGTCTGGAGTACCATCTGATGGAAGGTCAAAGATGACAGGGAAAAACAGAGGGTTCAGAAATCAAGTGGCAGTCTCAGCTGCACCCTTTTTCCATGAAAGGTTTTGACTGTCAGAAGTGAATGCTGCTAGAATAAATTTGTTCAAATTTACCAGTAAGAAAGGCTTTTAAAAATCTAGCTGTGTCACTATTACTACACAACCCTTCCCTGTGGTTCTATCCAAATAATATCAAAGGTTTTGCACTTACAATTTCAGTCGAGGCTCAACACATCGCACAAAGTAATCAAAATCATCATCATCCTCCTCATCCCAGGACCTCCAGATGCACTGGTAGAAGAACCTTTTGAAGCAAAGTAAGCATTTAACCACACAAAGGAGACCACGTTTACCTGTGCAGGGAGAACAGCACTGAAAATGCAAATGTAATCAGTTTGAGATTTCAGCTCAAAGTATCACCTCGCTCAAATTCCATGTTACTATAAAATATTTAACGCACACAGTTCTCTGTTGTCTACCTGCATAAAGAGTTTTATTTTGTGCATTAGAGTTGAAAATCCCTAAAAAGCCCAAGTTCCAATTTCATCAAGACAGTGAACAACTAAAAGCTGGATTTGGAAGTTGTTTGGTTTTGGGCAGGCATCCTTCATCTAAACTTTCTTTTTGGCAATGAGCTTGTCACCTCCATCATTCAAGCTTAGATCTCTAATACGGAGTACCTCTCAGCAGAATGTGTATGTTCTCCCCTTTTTCACTCACCACTTCTGAAATGGCCCATTTTCTAGACAGGAAGGTCATTCCCCCTATTTGAGCTGTTTCATCCGTCTACTGCCTATTTGTACACAGTATTTAGTTTATGAAAGCAAGGGAGATGGAAAAGACACAGAGATGATAAAGGAAAAGAAAATAGAAGACATGAACACTTGAAAAATAAAGAGAAAATTCAGGGGAGGAGGCAAAAAAGCAAAAAAGAGAAAGAATAGAACAGAAAAATGTTATGGAAAAGAAAGAAACGCTGCATTAGAGCCAGCAAGGTGATACAGCCCAAGCAAATCTGGCTGAAGAGAAGGAAAACACAAATTATTTTCTTCCAAGCTTTTGACACAGCAAGCAGACTGACAGTAGGCTGCAGCCAAACATACCTGGTTATTGTGCAATTACCTGCAGCTGCAGAGGACGCCACAGATTTTTCTTTATGAACAGTCTTCGCACAATACCAGTCACCAGTTTTTGGAAAGCTTAGCTTGTGGAGCTGCCAGCATGACCACAAGAACTCAGGGCACCACCCACAGGATACTATCAGAGTGTCATTGTTCAAGACAAAAATTAAACTTCAGGCATTTTCCTACCTGACATGCTCTACAGCTAGTGCTGTGTTGTCCAACTCTCCTGACTCATCATACACAACCCACAGCTCCTGCAGTAGTATCTTTCGCTCCTTCAGCTCCAAGAGCTCCTGGACACACTCCAAGGTAAAGGTGCTGTCCCGCGACTCACACAGGAAAGGCTCACTGAGTTGCACAACTGCTTTCAGAGCTGAATACTCCACATCAACAACCTGTTAGAACAAATAGTTCTTAAGATTCCTCAGAACCTTAGATACAGCTGAGGAGGCTAACATGCCATGCATATGCCAGCAGCCTGTACTCATCAAAAATGTAATGGAAATGCCAGTTTGAACATCGAAGGTTTGAAAAAAGATGTATGATTTGGACACTGAGATACCTAGAAAAGAAATACCCAAAACCAGCAATCCTCAGTGGGTCTGTGACAGGAGCACAATGTGGAAGAACAATTGTCAGTACCAAGGTGGGCTAAAATGAAGAATTTTATCGATTAAAAAAAAAAAACAAACAAAAAAAAACAAACTGAGAAATTATCAGAGGCTGGTATCTGAAAAGATTACATTACACCAGCCAGCTCTGGCCAAGTATTTATTCCCTCTGCGCCCAGAGTTCTACCTCACAGCTCGCTCACACTGATTTGGTGTTCCCCTTCCAGTTTCAAACAAGGACCCTTAAAAAAATTCCCATTGCTCTAGCCATCACTAGCAATTAGATATGAAAACATTACTATTTTCTATCAGCTCCTAAACTTATAACTGATCTGTCTGTTAGAGGTAAATCATGTTAGTTGGAGACTAAATGCCTGAGCATTTACCTCAACAAGGACCTCAAACACATTAGTGCGCCAGACTGCCTGCCATCCAGATGGTTCAAGGACCTTCGCCAGGTACTCAGCTGTGAATTCTTTCACTTCAGAAACTTTGCAGTCAGCTAAAGAAATTGAAGACAGCAATTTATGTAAAGAAAGTCATTCAGCTCACCAGAAAATGAAAGTCAACACGGTTGAAGTCTTTCACATCTGAAGTTTGAATTCATTCTGTTTTGTTCATGATAACCAGCAGCATTTTTGCTGTGTGTCTCTCTCAGAAAGCTGGAGAGACATCTGTTTTGTGCTTCTCTAGAGAAAGAGATACAGTACTCAAACTTCCAAGTACTGAAAGTTTCAGTGCCAGTGGTATTAAACAGCTAGGCTGTGCCTTACTACAAACAAAAAAAGTACTAGTAAGATCAGTTAAAACAAGGCACAGAATCCAATATTAGCACCTCTGCCTTTCAGAGTTTATTTACTTATACTGAAACCATTGCCTCCTGATCCACAAGCAATAGCAGCATAAGTGATCACAGCACACTACATCTTTGCTAAGCCCAGTTAAGATCACCTTATAGTTTAATACAGAATCAACTCCACTTAAACTGGATTATTTAATAAGTCACTACAAGAAACCTGACTGCATATTCCCTTTCTAAGAAATTACTTACCCAAGATATAATCCTGGTAAGCTTTAAATCGCTCATAAAACAAAAGATGACTGGTGTGAAAAACATCCGGGAAAAGCACATTCCCATTTGGCGCAGTCCTTCCTAAAGCAGTCCCTGGTTTATCGCTGCTGCCATAATCGCTGCTGGAATCATCATCTTCCTGGAGCAGATCTGGGGAGAAGAATGGGAACAAAGCAAAGCCCACATACTGTCAGTTCAATGCAATCATCAGTCACTCTATTCCAATAGAACAGATCACTCTATTCCAATAGAATTCCTTTTCAGCTCAAGATCTATGACGAACCTGCTTTCTACAACATGTTTTAAATTATCCTTAGTGAAGAGACTGCCTTATTTAGTTACTTGTTCTCTTCTTCAGGATGGTTACCCCGTATGAGAAGACAATTTCCTTTTTGCTGCCACATGGCTGAGCTGCAGCTACATGCTAGCTTACTTGGTGACATGGTTTAGTGGGAGGTGTCCCTGCCCATGGCAGAGGGGTTTGAACTAGATGATCTTAAGGTCCTTTCCTACCATAGCTATTCTATGATTCTATAAAATCCTTTAGGTAATACGTTACTATGCATGTACATATTATACCTTGTTAGTACACTGCACACTGCCTGCATCACCCAGACATTAATCCAACTGCTTTTGGAACATATATAAAACCAGCTAAACCTATACACAACTGATCCAAAACAATGCACAGGATTATTGTGAGCAAACAGCAAAACATACACAAGATGCACAAGAAAACAGCAGATACAAGTCTCAGCTAAAGATGTGTCTTCACAGCTCCCTGTAAGTCTTTTCCTGTTCTTCAGTGCAGGCATTGATTTTGCATTTTAATAAACTAACATAGAAATTCCAAGGACCATCTTCAGTCAGAACGGGGAGTGTTGTAATTTTTAGCCCACTTAAATGGATACTGGCTGAATCTGTTCTTTGAAGGTTACTAGGCAATGATAGCAGTTCTCCAGGAAGTGTCTCCACTTGTGTTCCCATTACAAACTCAGTCATGGTCATCCCTACATTCAGAAAACAGCATGGAAATGACTGTAGTAAACCAACGGCAATGATGATGTGGTTTTTTCCTTTTCATTAATGCAACAGCTCAAGACACCCTCTTTGCCCATACCTTGATACTTTAACAATTCCTAGACTTCTGCATTTTTATTAACTACAGTCTGTCCTTTACCACATATCTACATGTAGATATGTAAAAGAAAAAAAAAAAATCACATTCTGTTTTTAACTCATCCCTTACATTTCAGGATGTGTTATGAAAGCTAGCAGTTTTGACCTCAAATTTTTAAAGATTTTACACATTTGGGGCAAAACTCAATCAGCAAAACCTAATCAGAACCAGTGCATGAGCCAGTTACAAGTGTTTAGGCAATGTAAATTTTCTTTGTAGCAGAAACACATAAATAAAGGAAAAGCTGATTTTAATCAAGTACGATTTATGAAATATTTTAACTGCTTATTGTAAAACTGTAGCTATGCTACACATATGCTGTAAATAAGTTTTTTTTTCCTACACACCCATAATCAAATACAGGAACTACAATAGCCATGCCCTGTACTAGAGTACAGCATACACTCCGGAACAAGCCATTTAATTCAGCTTGCACTTTGTTTACAAATTGCAAGCCTATAACTTCGCATCAATAATGACCTGGCACTGAGCAATGATATTCCCTAGATACTAAAACCATCGGTATTCCTATGCTGTGCTATTAAAGCAGAGGGCAGGGGTCTCTCCCAGGAAAGCGTTTTTCGTGTCAGCGTTTCAAACGCACAGATGTTCCTGGACGCCGACCAAGTGTCTCTGGTTTGTACCGGAGACACCCGCCCCAAGTTCACAACAGAAAGAAGAAAGATCGCTGTGTTTATGTCCGCAGACACCGGGGGCTCCCCCATAGGGCACGGCTCCCAGGGCGGTCCCCGCCCCACGCACCAGCGGCCTCACGCCGGGAAGCGGCGAGCCGCTGCCTGATTCGGCCCAGGGCACCGCTGCCCCCTCCCGCTCGGGGGGTACTGGGCACAGGAAGCACCACAGCAGCGGCTGGGGCACGCCAAACCCCTCCGCGGCCTGCTCTGGCTCCACAGTCCCCCGGCTCCGCGGCCGCCTCACGCTCCGGCGCCGACACCACTGCAGCCGCAGAGCCGCCCTGGGCAAACGGCCCGACCCTGCCAGCGGCTCAGCGATCCCGTCCCGACCGGCGCCAGAACCGCGGCCCGCCGGCTGCAGGCGGCCCCGCGCGGGACGGGCAGGCCCCCACCTGGCTTCGCCTCCCCGGCGCGCTGCTGCCGGGCAGAGCTGCCCGCGGCACCGTCCCGGCCCTCCCGCTGCGGCCCCGCAGCGCTCCCCGCCGGCCCCTGCTCCGCCATGCTGCGCGCGCGGCTGCTCCCGCCGGGATTTCAAACTGTTCCAGCACCTCACCCTCCGCAACGTCACCGGCAGCGGCTGTTCTGATTGGCTAGCGACAGCACCGTGCGAGCCCGGCCGCAGCGGGAGGGCGGGGCCAAGCTGTTGAACATCCAATAAGGGCCATCCTGCCCCAACCCCGCGTTCACCGCGCGGGTCGCTCGCGCAGGTGCCGGAAGCCTGTCTTGGCTGCGGCCCTCTTGGCTCTGACCAGCGCCCATGCACAAGGCACGTGAGCGGTTTCAACGCGCAGGGGTCTCCCGGCTGCATTTCTCAGTCCTTCGGTTTCTCTTCCCGTCCTCCCAGCGCCAGCATCTCCCGTTTCTGCACTGACACCTCACAACCAGTCTCGCAACCCAGCGCTTCTCTTCCCTCTGCTGTTCGCGTTTTGAGTTGTGAATACAAGACTGAAGTCATAACGATGTGAGCAAGGTTGAGCAGCTGAAGAGGTTCATATTTAATATAGTTAAACCTAGTAGATCTTTAGCAAAGAAAAGGTGACTGCAGGACGGGAGGGAAGTAAAGAAAGGAAAATCCAAGCCGCTCCAGGGAGCATTCAGTGCCCACGGAGTCATTGTCGTGAAGCATTCATTTCTCCTCCAAATAATAGCTAATTTTAATCGGCTTTTGGAACAATTGCTTTAGAACATAAACGGCCACGAGAGGGCTGCCTTAGGTTTAAAGAGCTCCCAGCTTGGAAGTTTCTTCATGTTCACTTCCCAAACATTAACAGCTTTCAGAGTAGCAGGCCGTTGCCTACAGCAGTTTTCACCTCCGGAGCAAGCCAATAGCCCTGTTCATCCCGACATCACAAAGAGTCCGAGTTGCCGCGGGTCCACAGAAATCAACTCTTGCCCATCATAACCCCAGCAGAGAGTTTCTCAGTCCCAAGGCCTTGTCTGTAGCATGCCATCAGAACTTAATCATTGCACTGGCCATGCATGTCTAATACTGATGTAGTTTTCACCAATCGTGATTAGATTAAAAAAGTCCACTAAAACATATAAATTTCACCACAATGAATATTCCTGGGGGAAGGTCGGCCTTGAAAGCAGAATGTGTCCATAAATGAAGTGTCTCTGAACTGATTTAAGTAATTAAGAGTTGAAAGTTTGCCCCTCTGAACTTACAATACCATGGAACATGGTATTATATCTGAGGTGGGCTCCCCAATATTTAAAGAGCAGAGTGACACAGTCATTCACAACATTGAGATTCTGCAATAGGCAACATGCATTTGTATATTCGTGCAGGTGAATTTCTCTGGTATGAAAGAAACTCCACAGAACGAATAAGGGTTTTGAATCCAACCTCAGCAACACGTACTAGCAAAATTGTATTTCAGCTGTACACTGAGTCAGGAACAGGAGAGTAATGGTCAAAAAGAGAAAAAAAAAAGTAAGTAATAGCCTAACAGAACGGAAAGATAATGAAGCAGCAGCAGTAAGAACCTTTACAATGGGAATAGGAAAGAAGAGAGTATTTGGAAGGAAAAGTACTGGAAAAGAGGTATTCCACCAAGATGAAGAAGATCGTCTTTCAGCATTTTGGCCTTATGGGATGTTGCTTGTCTTGTACTTTTTTCAGCTCCTAGAATGCAAAGACTATCAGCATGAAAGGACAGAAACAGCAAACACAACAGAGACAAAAACTGAGAAAGGCCAAATAAAAGGGCAGAAGAGCAGAATGCCAAAAATAGCCTGGAAGATGCATGAGAAGCCAAAGAGAGTCTCAAAAAAATCAGAAAATGTTTTTGTGACTACAGGAGCACAAGAACAAGCTTCTTTTCCTGAACGCGGGACCTAAGTAAAGGATTCAGTAAAAAGCATGAGGTGGCTACAGAAGAAAAGGGGTAGCAAGTGACGAGCAAGAAAAAAATCTCATTACATTATATATTTTAGAGGTCTGCTGTTACTCTTGCCTGTAAGTATAACTGTATGCATAGAGTAACTATATAACCACAGTAACTATATAATTGTAAAGTTATAGGTATGTAGGTTCCCGTAACATTTAAATGTTTAGATTATTTTTTTCTCCTCATACATACAGTGAATTTCATCATGGCTTGCAATAGGAAGGTCAGTTTTTTTCACATCAAGGTGAAATACTGGCACAACGTTGCAAACAGGACAATCCTTTTACCCCTATTTCTTCAGTTTTCAGCATAGCTGGGGCAGAATGAATTCTATGTAAGACACTTCTGTAATGTTCACCTAATCATCCCCAATCCTTACAGCAGAGCTGGTTGGGTTTGCTGCTGCTGCAGGCAACTATGTCATGGACCACTCAAGCTCCACTGTGGTCAGAAAAAAATCCACTATAGTTGGTTTTCTGCCCCTTATATTGGAAATAGAAACTCAGTCCTCTTATTGTTGGAAATTTTCCACTTTCCAGCTTGAATGTGCGTGCATAATTCAGACCATCCGTTATTTTCTTGAGCTTAAACAGTTCTTTTTCTCCCTCGATATTTATCCATCCAGTTTGTTCTTGAACATATATTAATGCTTCCCTGAAATTCTTTTGGTAAATCATGGTCTGTGTCTCCTTTTGCACAGCAGGTCCTCCATTTTCCTCATCTCACTAGTTGCCCTTCTTTGCACTTTTCTCCAAGCTTATTTATTTCTTCAGTGAGAGTGACCAGGTCTGTGTGAAGTGCAGAGGACTGGGAGGATTTTACATGGAATGTTAACACTCTTGAGTTTGAAAGGAGGAAGAGAAAGTGGTTGCCCTCACACTCTGTAATTGGCTCTCATACTTTCTAATGAAATCTCATTGCTGTTGTTCTGGTCAATGAGATGTGTCCACTGCAGTCACCTAGATACTTCTAAAATGCTTATCCTTATCTAAAGTTAGGTTGTCTTTCCCCTGAAATACTGAAACAGTAAGGACTACTGGTAGCAGAACTCTGACTTCTGAAATCCGAAATATACCTTCACTGAAAAACATGACAGGGCAGTTATACAGTGTGTAAATCACAGAAGGCCATTAATTGCGTTACAGAAATAGATGCGAGTGCAGTATCTAAGGAAATGCAGAGAGGAACTTGTGTCTTGGCACTAAAAGATCATTTTATTTTGGTACTTAACTAGTTTAACTGAAGGAACACTATGGTAAAACAGATCCCAAATGTGGGATTTGGCCAGTCTGGGTGTCCTGACAACAGGCTCATCAGAAGTAGTCAGATTACTGTAGCTCCAATGCAGGTGTCACGTAGGCAGCAGTAAGAGTGTTTTGGCTCAAAGCCTGGTGGAAACCCACTGCCTGGCTAAGAGAAGCAGCCAGCCATAAGGGCTGTTGAAGCTGACATGTGCAAGCCAGCCTACAACCAACCCCCTGTGGAGGAGGGCTGAGCTGCAGTGGAGAATTATTGCTGTGCAAAATTATGCTGAGCTGTTGCATCAGCTCTCCTCAGCGCCGGGAAGATGGCTGCCAGTTATTAGAGATAAAAGTGTGCAGTTCACAGGGTCAGGACAGCCCTTCCTTTTTAGGTGTAAGCTTATGAAGAAAAAATACCCATCTACAGAAGTATATGTAGGAGAACAAACTTAACTTGGTGACTCTGGACTAGAACTTCTTTATGTGCCATTGATTTCACTGGAGCAATGTCTGTTCATGCCAACTGAGAATTTGATACCAAAGTTAAAAACTCGAAGAAAAATAGCAGAGTGTTTTACACAGACTTCCTATCCAAAGAAAAAATACCTTCATTCTAATTTGCTGCTGGAAGATAAAACCCTTAATATTTGTGGACATGCATTGACTTCAGTTGAGACCAACAGCTATTTCTGCTTTAAGATTTCTTAAAATAAGATCTTCTTTGTCATGTCTTATTACAAGGCAACCTTAAAATACACATTAAATCAAAAAATTAAATTATTTTGTTACAAGTAATGAAAAAAAATAATTTTAGTTAATTAAAGGCTTGCAAACCAGAAAATGTTTATCAAATGTGGAGAATAAGCAGTTGAGACAAGCCAGCAGAGATGTGATAGTGACGGGAAAGAAACACCAAATACGCAGAAAAGACAAAAAGAAAAATCTAAAAGAGACTGTTACAGAAGACAGTGAAACAAACGTTGTGTGCTGTTCTTTTTCCTGTCACAAATTTTCTTGGTTGCCATGGCAACCACTGTAGACCCTCTAGGCCTCCATTTGCCCCCTATAAAATGGAGATTTTTTTTACTACATGTTTTGTTACTCCATTTGCAAATACTTTTATGTCTGGAGTTGAATGGTGCCATATAACTGTTAATTACTTGGGTTATTAGATGTAACTCATGTTCTTTGACAAGATTCCATCAGTCTTTAGACTTCTTTTTTATAACTGTATAAACTGAAACTAATGTAAACCTAAATAAATTGAATCTACCCAGAAAAGCAATTAAACTTTTGAAAACCTGTATACTTCCATTCCCTCAAAAATTCAAATCCTGGTATTTTTTATTAGATATTTTGGAGCTTCACATATGAGTTCTCCACCAAATGTCTATATTTATCAAAGATGGAGCCATATCACTGAGATCAAGATATCTGACTTGAAGAAGCTGGAAAAAGAAGAGCTGGAAATCAGCTGTTCGTGTCACTGCTTCTCTCTTTATTAACAGAGGATGCTTTCTTAAGTGTTCTCTACTGTGACTTGCGTAGTTTCAGAATCTTCTTAATATTGTCTTCTTCAGAAGGGTGCTGAGTGGCCTCAGAACTGGTCTAATGACGCCTTATATTTTACAATCCCAATAACAGCATTGCTGATTTGTTTTTTCCTATTTATAGAACATTCTTTTCTTGCAATTCACCTGAACAGCTTCCAAGATTCTTACTGCTTTGCCTGCTGAGCACTGGGGGTTTTACCTACAAACATGCCTCGTATTGCTAACTCCTTAACTTTCAGAAATGCAAGTTTCACCTGACTGACCTTGCAAACTGAACCTTTGCTCTTCTTACCAAGGAGCTGGTAAAACAAATTTTAGCCTTTTCACTCATTGAAGAGGACACTGCAGTTCTATTTTCAAGTTTCACCGAAGAGCA